ATAATAAAGAAACTGTTGCTGTGTTGAAAGATTAAAAATAATAAAGAAACTGTTGCTGTGTTGAAAGATAGCAAAAGAAAAAGAAAAAAAACACAATGACGAAAAACACAAGCTGATCAAGAAGACAGAGGACAGAAAGGAGGGGGGTACTATGGTCGTCAATGTTTGCTCCAGACTTGACACCTGTAGAAGAAGAAGAATTTGGGGGGTGTGGGGGTGTTGTGAGCTTTTTGCGGGCGGAGGGCGGAGGGCGGAGGGGGTTAGAGGAAAATTGGTTAGTCGGCATTTTAGATGGGTGGAGATTGGTTTGACATTTCGGAGACAAGTGTGTTGGTTTCTTTGCACGTTGATAAATAGATATTCAGCTTGTCTTTAGCTTTTCAAATTGATACATAGATAGTCATATCTACATAGATTGTCCTATTCAAATTGTTTGGTAGATAGTCAATGTATCCGAAGCTATTCAAATTTGTGGATAGAAAGTCAGCTGTCTTTAGCCGTTCAGATTGATGGGTAGGTAGTCAATTAGTTTTTGTCTATTCAAAGTGATAGGTAGATAGTCGCTTAGTTATTTTGTAAGTTTGTCTGTTTCCTTGCTTGCTGGGCTATATGAGGAGTTTTCTTACAATGTCGTCCGTGTCCTGCCTAGCTTGAGACGTTGTCCAAACTCCTGGCACACCGGCGTATCCCCGGGGAGAGCTCGGCTTCCCGACACGAGAGTCTGCACCTGTTGTCCAGTTTTACCCTGGATGATCTCACTGCTGAACAGGTGGGCGGGGTTCTTTTGTTTGTTTTGGTTTGGTTTGCTTTTTCTCTTCCTTCTTTTACACTCGTCTTTGTTTTGGGTTTTTTCCCTCTTCGTGCTCGTCTTTGTTAGATTACAGATTTTTGTTTCTGTCTTGGACTTTGAGTCTCGAATTCTCTTCTTTGCTTGTGCCTTTATTTGTTTAAATCTTGAGAACGTACTGCAGTGTGTTTGTTTTCTTTGGGCGTTTGTTTAATGTTGGAAATCTTATCTTTGTTTGCTCATTTTGTTTGTTTAAGGTTTTCTTTTAATTCAGAGTTTTTGTCTGTACAGGTTTGTTTATACCAAATAATGTTCATTTATTCATTGAGAGTTTGAGCTATTATCTTTCATTTATACGTGCTTGTCTGTTCACATGGACAGATGTCTTCTTTTATCTTTGTTTATTCATTTATTTATTTCCTTGGGGGGGGGGGGGGGGGGGGCAGGCTTAACGGCTCGAAATCAAATTGTTGCTGTATCAGAGAAATGAAGCGAGATTGTACTATAATTTTTTAGCAGCTATCTTGGTTCATTTTGTTCAAGTCTAAAGCCTTCATTTTTCTGTGGTTTAGGAATCACGATTTCGTCAACTAACATCCACCCTTCCCCCCTCCACCTGGGTTTCCTATCCACACAGATTCAACTAGAAATGTCCCTGGTCCAACAAGAACTACACGACATGAAGCTTCAGCTAGAAGCCGGTCCTAGAAACCACATCAGCCATAACGACACGCAGCTCATGCAGAAGATAGAGGCGCTCAAGGTAATTAATTATTACTGAAAGGGTTCAACATTCGCTACAACATATAAAAATCGTTTTAAGAGGAGCGGTGGTGAGGTGAGGATGGGGTGGGAGTGTTGAGCAGGGTGTGATGGCAATGGGATTACAACTTACAGGGAGGGGAGGGGGGGTGGCCTCCGAATTGAAAGTCCATCTCCGATAAGACCGAACCAATAAATAGGTGGACAGCCTTGAAAGCATGCCGAGTTTAAGAATGTCGCACTGGGAATTTGAATCAAGATCATCGGTACCTTAGCCCTGTATGATACCAACTGCACTAACAGCATGTACAGGCGCTGAGGTTATGAAGTTGGTGTTGCAAGATTGGTTTCTTGTTAGATAAGTGGATATTAAAAGATAGGTGGATGGATGGATGGATGGATGGATGGATGGATGGAGGGAGGGATGGATGGATAGATGGATGGATGGATGGATGGATGGATGGATGGATGGATGGATGGATGGATGGATGGGAGATTAGATGGGTCGATTGGTCGGTTGATTAGTGGAAGGAAGTGGGGAGAGGGAGGGGATTAGTGGATGGAGGGGTGGATAGGATAGATGGATGGATAGATCGATTGTTGGGTGGATCGATGGATCAGTTGATGAATGAAGGGAGGCAGGGAGGATGGTGGGGGG